CCATGATTACATGTCCAACAGGAATTATTTCCTCAGTCGAGGTCACCCGGACATTCATGGGTCTATTACTCTAAGCATCTGTTGTTACTTTATCTTATCCTGTCGCCACAATTTTGTAAACTAGGGAAGGTTACTGAATAGAATAATCACACGAAGGTTTGTAATGAACGATAATACTTAGGACAAGAACAACACATATAAGATTCGACATCGGCGCGTGGAAGAAGTAGAAACTGCTAGAATTAAATCAAGTAAATTCTGCAATGAATTTTCAACTGCAGGATATTTACCAACAGCCCAACGCGGTCAGATGCGGCACAAAGCTGAATTTAATGTGGGATATTCGAGCCAGTAAATTCGGACAAAATTTCCCCGTAGAACCCGTATAAAACGAGGTCGGGTAGCTGTTTCCCAAGACCAAAATCTTCTCTTCGACATAGCCTCGCCCGGTGATCCTCTCTGCTCAGAGATAGAAAGTTTGACCAGCACAGTTAGAGACGAATCTCCAACTGCCGGATATCTACCAACCGCCTCACGCAGGCAGATGTGGCACAAAGCCGAATTTAACGTGGGGTATCCGAGTCCGTAAGGTACAGCCAAAAATTCCCCGTAGACCCTGTATAAAACGGAGTCGGGTAGCTGTTTCTCGAGACGAAACTCTGACCTTTGACATAGCCTTGCCTGGGTATCCTCTTTACCCAGATTTTGGCCAGCACAGCTGGAGACGAATCTTCGAGTGCAGACCAACATACATTATTTACTACTGTATTTATGTGAATGGGGACATACCCATTAGGGCCGTAGGTATGCTACAACGCCATCAGAGTTGTGCATCAAGTTCGGAAGGGTGACATTCTGTATCATAACATAGCTGGTCAATGTAGGTGGTTGCTGGGCGACCAAGCTATTTTACGCCATGGCTAGGTGTACAGGGCATTAGATCACGCGCGATTTCTTGTTTTGCTCGCCAGCAGTGTCCTAAAAATCGCATTCTGCCTTCACTTTAAGATTGTAGAAATATCAGGGATGGGGTCATAAAGGGCTAATGCGAATGAAAACTACAACACGAATTCATTATTTCACTTTTTAAAAAATTAAATTAGACTTAAAAGCGATTAGACTATATAAACCTATTGGACAAATAGTGTCCACATCCTTACACCGCTTTTATGAACCATATAATCTTTTTTTTATGGATATACAGTGTGCGTTTCCCCTGCGATAAACACAGTTTCACAACTTGGAGCAGTTCTCGTCTAACAGAATAATTAACTTTCTACCGGAGTTTAATTTAGATTTAAGCATAATGAAGTAGGATATTGCGCTAGAACAAAGTTTGTTTGTTCTGCAATTCCTTTCAATCTCCCTGCAACAGAATGAAATTTAACGTTCATTTTTTTCATTTTCCATAAGTTCATTTTTGGTTTAAATATCACACGAACCAGTTTTAAATTAAGATTTTGCTCTAGACATCCAGAGTTTTTGTTCTCCTAGACTGATTGTCTAGAGAACTCATTTTACTCTGTTAATTCATAGCCCGAGAGAGAAATGATAAAGATTCATATCTTTCCCAAGAATATATGTACGAAAGTGAATCTAACGAACACCGCCGTCACTCGAACTTGTCATCCGTTTTCTCTTTCCGACACGATAACCGTAAAGCTACCCGCGCCCGTATTATTAAAGGTAACATTATTAGCAGCATCAAAATTATTACCACTGCCAACCAATGCAATATCTGTAGAAGTTATTAATGAATTTCAATATTTAGTAGAATGTTTGCTCACGGACAAGTGATTAAATTTTGAAGTGGATTACCGAAATTTCCACTGACAGCTATTTCAAATATTAAGAAAATAGTCCGAAGTGTAGGGTTTTACTAAACGTAACTTAGATGTGTCATGGGGACAAAAGTATAGAGCAATCAGTCAAGATAGTACTCATTACGCTCCCCTTATACCATAGTCATTAAAAACAATAAAAATTCAGTGATGCTTTTTAATATTATGCGTATAGGAAATACAGCAGTAGTCTTATGATACTTATCTTCCTTGGTCGAATAATAGTTGAAGAGTAGAGTTGAGGTACTCATTTATCTTGCGAGAAATGCTTGCTATTATATAAGTCCAAGTGCCAGCCTCTTCGTTCTCTCTCATTTTATAATAATTTACTCAGCTTATATAATTCCAGACACAAGGCTGTAAATAAGCAGCACAAAGTGAGAATCAAATTCAGTACTCAGTATTAAATGATCTAGCGAGACAAGCATGTTAACCATTACACTGCGTCGAAGTGCGCGCCTTTAATCTCTCCCCATTTTCTCTGTCAATTTATAATAATTTAAATTTAGGTAAGGCAGGGTACAAGGCTACAAATATGGAACATAGTAAGGATTGAACTCAGTCCTAATTGATCGATTGAATCAAGTTTACTAACCATTGCACGACGTCAGTGTGTCCTAATAGTTTGAAGTATATGGAAAAAATTAAACGTACGCAGT